CAAAATAAACAGCATCAGCAGCTCTGAATCAACATCTGACAAACACCTACAAGCTTCAGCAAGCATCAATCTCCATCTCCACAGCCTTCCAGCAAGGTCTTGATCATCAATCTTCCATATACAATGGCTTTTCTTCCAGTCTCAAACTCCCAGGAGGAATATCAGTCAACAAGATGAAGTGAATGAATGTTAGCCAGTCAATTACCTACCAAGGGTGGTTCATTAACTGTTAACATTATATAGACAATTTTCCCTCAAAAGTTCTATCTTTCAAATACATTCACTGATCCTTCCAAAGGAAGGAGGTGGATATTTGAAAGAGACTTTGAATCATAGAGAAAGGATGGATGCAGACAAGGCACTCCATGTTTGAGAAACAAGCTTTCTAATCTAGAGCTCTGCCTAGCTCCTAAACCCTAGTCTCCTCAGCAGCTGCTAGCAGGAATCTCCTCTTCAACTTTGGAAGTTGGTCTTCAGCATCTGAATCTCCAATGGCTTCATCATCACAAGTCTTCAGCTCTCCCAATCCCCAAACAATCCCAATACCCACACAGACAAACAATAATCCCCAGAGGGCATACCACACCAATCAATCAAATATAGTAGTATATTAATAGCAGTAGGGGAATCCTAACATTTTCTAAGGGATCTAATAACTACCCATAATCCCTATAGTCCCATGGCCAAAATTCAATCTCTAACTCCTAAGGGAAATGAGCTACTTCATCTATGTTATCACTTAAACCCTAATTTTGTTCATGTTATTCACACCTAAACTAAACACCTAAAATTAAGTCCTAAAAATGGGAACTAAATTGTATGTACAAGTTGAATGTCTAAACTAAACAACCTAAAAAGAATGGATTAAAAATGTTAAAGCAACTATTAGAACAAAAATCATCAAATTTAAGTATCAAACTAAATCCACTAAAATGCTATTTACAAGAAAAATGCATGAAAAATATTAAAACAAAATAAAATGTCATTTTTATTTTTTCATATTTTTCTAGACAGAATAATGGACCTATAGCAAAAAGAAGGAATTAAAAATCTCAATTTTCCTATTTTTTATGATTTTTTAAAGATGAGAAAAACATTAAAGAAATTAAAATAACAAAATATGAAATAAAAGGGGGAGGGGGTGAGAAAATTAGAAGCGCCCTAGTTGTTTTTATTAAGTGGGCCAGATCAGGGGGTGCAGATATCATTGGTTAGGCCCAGGCGTTATCAGGAAATCAAAAGAAAAATGCAAAAGAAAATAATATGAGCGCGGTGCAGAAAGTAAGGGTTTTTAGTTTAAAACTGGACTGGGCCGCTGGGTGGGGTGTGAATAGCACAAGTTGCTGAAGCCCGGGATTCACCATTAAATGAAACGGCAACTTTTCAAGGTTGGACTTTCCCTCCGTTTCTGAAATTCAATTGGAGCCGTGCGATCAGATTAATGAGTCAAAGAACCAGGACGATCTAACGGTGGAGGCTCATCGTCCCAAACGGACCATCTAGGGTTTTCAGGATTCAGCTTCATGCATGAGATTTCAGGTCCCTCGTTCTCCCTCCATGCGCGATGAAAATCAAAACTTCCAAGAGCAAAGATGCTCTACTAATCCCCCAGAACACGATGCTACCCATGATTTTTACTGAAACCTCTTGTATCACTCTAACAGAAAGCACGAACATTAGGGTTCCACCATAATTCTCTGAGATCAATCACGATAGAGCTTCAATCTAATGATGTGAACGTGTTCTACATGTTTCCCTAACCACACTATGCTATACCATATCCGTTAAAACTCCATGAACAGCCTATTCTTGAACCTTAAAGAAATGGCACCCTGCCATGAAACTCCATGGATCTCTCTCAAATCCTCAGAAAATCATCACCTAACCTAGCATGTTATCCTTACACCTAGCAATCTAACAGTATGCACCTAAATAAGGATCTATGGTGAAAATTACCAACCTGTCAAGTATCAATGGTGAGTGATGTTAGAGCTCGATTTGGCACTTGAACCTGCTTCAAAATACTCCTCTAATGGTGGATAGGGTTCTGTTTGCAAGAGTCTTGAAGGAGAAGGCTTGTAGAGATCAAATTGTGTGTGGCTTGCACTTGAAGGACACCTTGAATATCTCTTTCTCCTCTCACTCTTCACCAATGGAGTCACCAACCCTTTCTTCATTATGATCAAACCAATATATAGAAACCAAAGGAAGGGTCTAGAAGCTTATAGAAACTTTGAGAATCATCTAGAAAGTAATGGAACTTCTCTTGTAATGACATATTGTATATCTCATATCTCATGTGCCAAGCCATGTCATTTTGCTTTAAAATCTCCTTACAAGAGATATTGAGAAGGAATGAGTGGAAAAACAAGCATTGCCTTTGCCTTATGTGAAGTTTCTCAAGTTGCCTTATGATGCAAGAATGAACTTTACAAAGTAGCCCCTATTTTAAGACCTCAAATCAAAAATCTATTTGAACCATTGTTTTTAAAATGATGTTGGTAATCAATTTGGTATATTGGATGACCCATATTGGATTTGTACATCTCCCAAACCAATTTTTTATTTCAACTTTTTCAACTTATATGCCTTTTTAGGTCATTTTTCACCAACTTTGGTCAAGTCTTGTTCCATGCATTTCCAAACTTCCATAACTTCTTTTCTAGACTTAAAATGACATTTTGAGCAACTTTGATGTTGTGAGGTTTTTCATTTGAAGCTTCCTTGTATGAGTTTTAGGCATAGGCTAAGAATGACCTGTAATCACCAGATGACCAAAATACCCTTTGCTTGCCAAGACCATACGTAGAGTTACACAAATCATATGAAGGCATACCATACCATTCTAGAAAGCTATGACAATGAGGAACAATTCTTATGTTGACCATAAATTCATCTGAAATCTCCTTAAGGGGTAAAAGTTGCTTGGAAGACAAGTCATTTTCACAGACAAAATTTCAGATACCTCAGGTGACCTGTAACTTGCAAGGACCATAACTTGAGCTCCATAAATCTCCTTAATGTCTTCCACCACTCAAATTAAAGGTATTGAGATCCTATACAAGTTTCATGTTGGCCAAGGATCCATTTGAAGCTTGCATTTTGACTTATCTTGCTTGGAAATTTGACCTAAATTAGGGGATTTTACACAGAAACCCTAATTTAGAAACTCCTCTTCTCCTTGATTTCTCTTGATTTCTTCTTAGCACAACACCATATCATTATTCTTCATGTCAAATGAGGAACCCCACATCTCTCCAATAGCCCTTAATGCCTTTCAATCAATCAATTGACCTAGAGTTGACCTAGGGTTGACCCAGATGAAACCCTAGTTGACTGTCTTCATCCACAACTCTTGTGACTACACCAATGACTTGTCTCCTTATCCAAATGACTTTATAAGTCTTTCATGGTGTCTAGATACACTCCATGCTCAGCCCACAGCTCACAATTTCTTTGTTGATCCTCAGATACCCTCAGATAGGAGCTAGATGCCCTGCTTGATCCATTGACTTCTCAGCTTTCAAACTCTTCTGATGACTTGAATGAGACTGAATAACCTCTTGATAGGCTTATAGAGATGAGAATAATAATTGGTCCCCTGTTGGATGACTTGCTATGCTTATGCTATGCAGATGGTTAGGCTATGTACATGACTCTATATGCAAATGCTAATGATATTGAAACATAAACCAAGTGAATAAGGTTGAGCAAATTTTTAGGGTGCAACACTCATCTCAAAATTTTGATATTGCCAATGTGTTTGAAATCCAATTTCCATTCAAAATGACTACCCATATGCCATGTTTATGCCTTGCAAGTCAAAAAATCAATTTTCCCTCTCTTGAATCATTTGAAAAATCTCCCTTTTTAGGCCATTTTGGAGCACTTTGTGAAATAAGCCAATCCAACTCACCATGACTTCATATATGACCTATAAACAACATTTTAAGCACATCTCATGTTGAACAATTTTTCATTTGAGGAGTGGAAGATAGAGATTTTGGCACATGTTGAAAAAGGACCTATAATTCAACTTTCCCAAAATACCCCTGGATTTCCAAGATCATATCTTGAGTTCCACAAATCCCCTTGAGGACTTCTAGTACTCAAATTAAAGCTAAGACAAATACCTACTACTCTTATGTTGGCCAAGAATCCATTTGAAAACTCCTTGAGGGGAAAAAGTTTCTTGGAAGTCAAGTGACTTTCACAGATAAATTTCAGTGTCCTCTGGTGACCTGTAACTTGCAAGAACCATAACTTGAGTTCCACAAATCTTCTTGAAGACTTCTAGTACTCAAATTAAATATATTGAGAAGCCCTACAAGTTTCATGTTGGCCAAGAATACATTTGAAACTTTTATTTTTACTTATGTGGCTTGGAAGTCCAGTGCTATACAGGGGATTTTACCCTAGGAACCCTGTCTCAAACACCTCCAACCACTCTTGATTCTCTTGAACTTGATCTTGGATCATCCATACATATGCTTCAACATATCAATCCATGACTTCCATGACCTAGAGCTAGGTCTTGATGCCCTTTCTTTACTCCCCTTGACCTAGGGTTACCCAGATGAAACCCTACTTGTACAAACCTCAACTGTGGTTCTTGAACTTGATACAATGACTTGTCTAAGTTTCAATAGGGCCCTCTAGGCATCCCATGAGATCCATACACACCTCAAATTCATAATTCCATGTTGATGATCTTCAATACACCTCAAGTTAGGAGAGAAATCCACCTGTGGACACTCAAACTTCTCCTGACTTCAACCCTTCTCTGATGAGTTGGATGGTCTCTCAGGCTCAGAGAATACCTCTAGATAAGATTCTTTTGACATAAATAGCACTTGATCCCTTGTTGGATGACTTGATATGCTAGGATATGCAAATGATTGAATTATGTACATGATGTAACTATGCAAATGCAATGCAATGAAACATAAATCAGACAAGAAAAGGTTGAGCAAATTTTAGGGTGCAACACGAGGGTGACGATGAACTCGTGCATTCCTGGATTTGTTATACAGTTGGAAACATTGCCAATTATTACAGAGGACGGAACCCAATTGGATGACAAATGGAAATTTCACCGACTTTTTTGGGTATTTGAACCGTGTATCCGTGGTTTTAGTCACTGTAAACCAATTGTGCAAATTGACGGAACCTGGTTGTACGGAAAGTACAAAGGGACTTTGTTGATGGTTGTGGCACAAGATGGAAATGGTAACATTTTCCCGATAGCATTCGCATTGGTTGAAGGAGAGACAAAGGATGGTTGAAGTTTCTTTCTCAGGAATTTGAGAATGCACGTGACCCCCCAAGCTCATCTTTGTCTAATATCCGACCGACATCCATCAATCAAGAGTGCTTACGATGATCCTGAAAATGAGTGACAGTTTCCTCCATCTTCACATGTTTACTGTATCAGACACATTGCGCAAAACTTCATGTGTGAGTTCAGAAACAAAGCACTACGGAAAACAGTTGTCAACATGGGTATGTCTACATCTTCACAAGTTGTTGTTTCAATTTTTATTTTTTGACTTAATAATTTTCATATGTTTTACTGATCATTTTGTTTAAATATTTTCATCTACAAGATATGCACTAACAGAGGTAACATTTAACTACTACAGGGGCGAATTACAAAGAACAGATAGAGCAGCTTTGGAGTGGATTGACAATATTCCCAGAGAGAAGTGGCCGAGGGCGTTCGACGGAGGACAGCGGTAGGGACACATGACCACAAATTTGGCCGAATCTATGAACTCGGTACTTAAGGCTACCCGAAACCTTCCTATTACAGCATTGGTCAAGTCAACGTACTATCGTCTGGGATCGTTGTTTGGAAAACGAGGACACGATTGGACAAAAATGTTGGCATCCAGTCAAACTTTCACGCAAAATTGTAACAAGGGAATGGCCGACGAGGCGATTAAATCTAGCAGCCATAATGTCATTCAATTTGATCGCGAGAAATTCTGTTTTATGGTTGCCAAAAGCATTAATCAACGCGATGGCCGGCCATTAGGTACTTTTAGCGTTGATCTCAGGAGAGGGTGGTGCGATTGTGGGAGGTTTCAGGCATTTCATTTACCTTGCTCTCATGTAATCGCAGCATGTGCCAGTATACGACAGGACCATAACATGGACATACTAGATGTTTTCAAGGTTCTAAGTGTATTCAAAGTATACAGCCAAAGCTTCCTTGGACTTCCACACCAGCAAAATTGACCAACATATGAAGGATTCACTCATTAATTTGTGACAATTTAGTATTTTAATTTTTATTTTGTGGCATCTAAGTAAAAAAAATTCAAGGAAAGATACATAGTATGATAGTAAAGTTGGATATGATGGTTATTTGGTTGACAAAATTCGATAAGTATGGTTTTATAAATAGAAACGAGAAAGAATATCACAAAACTTCACACATTTCAAAAAATATTACTTGTAAAATGAAATCTGGCTATCTAGTACTATTTGTATAGCAATAAACTGCAAAACTAGCACTTCTCTTTCTCTTATAAGGTTGACTCTCAAAGAGGAGTGGAGTACAAAGGAGAACAAGCAATGAACATTTGAGACGTCAATCACACACTAGTCTTCACTTTTTGGTTCTCAAAGGTGAATGCAAAGTTTAGAGGGCCCTCCCAACGAAGTGGTAGCTCCGTTAATAGAGAAATAAACGCATACCTGATATGAAACCAAAATGGTCGCACGACATCTTGCATGGATACTCTCAGCAGAAACTAGCTATTATTAAATCTATAAATCATGTTCACATGGTAGCTTATGTTTAGGTTAGGTTTTATACTTTTATTGATAGCTTAGCTAGGTACGCTTTGCTTCATCGATATAAACATGTCCGTATCTTTCTCTCTTGTAGTAGCTCCTAACTACTAGTACATGCTATGTTTATTAGAAATATATAAAAATATCTACTCTATTTTTATTATTTATAGTAGTATCAATTTATCATTTTCATATCTACTAAAATATTAAATAATTTTATATGAAAAAAGAAGTTATAATTTGTTTTATTAAATTAATATTCATTAATAATATAAAAATATAAATAAATTGAATTAATATTTTTTTTATATGCTAAAACAATATATAATTAAGTATGAGTTGATCTCTATATAAATGACTTAGAGCTTGTTTGATTTGGTTTTATAAAAGTGTTTTTAAGTTTTTAAATTTTAAAAATAGTAAAATTTATTTAATAATCAAATTTTACAAAACTATTTTTAAAAACAATTATTTATTTAAGAGTTTTAAAAATTAAAAAATAAAATTTATTTTAAAAATTTTGGTTTTTAGTTTTGAAAATTGGGAGAAAACAAGAAAATGATACACTCTTAATTAATGGCAAATGTATAATATTATAAAAGTTTTAAAAATAAGATTATTAAATTTTTTAATTTTTATTTTCAAAACTATTTTTAAAAATTGATTCATAAAATAATTTTTAAAAACTTAAAATTAAAACTCATTCAAACAAGCTCTTATACCTATAAATAGAGAAAATAGAATCTCATTCTTAATATAATGGTTTGTGTTTAAGAAATTTTTATCACGTGAAATCTCAAACTCAAATATTAATTTTAAAAAATGGGAGTTGATAATATTATTATTAAAAGGTATTATTAAAATTTTAAACTATAATTAATCATACTTAATTTGAGTTTTTTTCTTAATATAAAAGAACCTCTTTTTTAATATTAATTTTAAATTTACTAAACATTTCAAATTAATTTTTAAGTTTTTAAGTATTTTTCATTAAATAGCAGTATATTCACCTGTGCGCAGACACATATGCGCATTGACATATGTTACAAAAATTTATTTTTGACAATTAAATAACTTTTTTTTTCACGCGTTCGCATGCACATGTAACAGATAGTCCTAATCATCAATCGACTAATGAAAGTTGTTGTGAATCGGATACTTTTAAACAAAGTATAAATGGTTTCTTAATAATCAAGAAACACACAAGAGTTATGGTTAACAAAGAAAACAAAGTAAAACAACAAGGAACAATAAGGATTAGTTATAAACTGCTATTCTTTCCTTACTCTGAGAACAAGATTACAAGTATACAAGAATAACAAATAACCTCTCTCTCTTGAAATTAGGATTTTATCTTCCTATTTTTCCTTATGCCAAGATTGAGAAACTAGCATCCTATTTATAAGAAAAATAGCACACTAACCTAATGGGCTTTTTAACAATTACCCATTACAAGCTAACTTAAACAATTGGACTTACAATAAAGACCCAATTCAACATGCTAACAACCATAGAAATATTGACTAATGCGTGTTAGAACAAACTTCGACTGCAACACGCATTAGTCCGACAACAGCATGCAAACAGACCTCGACCCCATGCTTAATTCCTGTCGAACCAGAAGCTACCCTTCGACCATACTAAAGTTCGATCCAATATCTCACAAATCTCCACCTTGGATCTAACTCTATAACATCAAGAAACTAACTTTCTTCATGCAGCTTTATCAGCTGCATATAGTGGAAAAACTTGTAACTGAGCAACGTCTTGGTGATCATATCAGCAGCATTATGATCTGTCGAAACCTTTACCACTTGGACTTCTCCACGCTCGATTACCCCTCTGACAAAATGCATCCTCGCGTCAATGTGCTTGGTTCACTCATGATAGGCTAAATTCTTCTAAAGGTGTATTGCACTTTGACTATCACATTTAACAACGATAACTTGACCTTGATGTTTCAGCTCCTTTGCAAAACCTTCAAGGCACAATGCTTCCTTCACAACTTCAGTTAGGGAAATATATTCTGCTTCAGTGGTTGATAAGGCAACAACCTTCTGAAGTGTTGCTTTCCAACTAATTGTTGTCTCAAACATAGTGAACAAATATCCATAAATAGACTTTCTGGAATCCATACAACCTGCATAACCAGAATTGACATATCCTTCGATTGTTGCTTTACTATCTTCACCCAATGCTCCACTATAAATTAGGACTCTATTCAGAGACCCATGTATGTACCTTAGAATCTACTTCAATGCTTGCCAGTGAGCCTTTCCAGGATTCGCCATGTACCTGCTTACAAGACTTACTGCATATGCTATGTCGTGTCTAGTACAGACCATAGCATACATAAAAGAACCTATTATGTTAGCATATGGAATGCTATTCATATAAGTTCTTTCAACATCAGCCTTAGGACACTGATCTATACTCAGTTTGAATTGAGGGTTTGTCGGAGTCACAACAGGCTTTGAATTCGACATACCATACTTTTAAAGAATCTTCCGTAGGTATGCCTCTTGAGATAATCATAATCTCGACTGCCTTCATGTCGAACTCCTTATTAAGTTCAGCCTTCACCCTCTTTACATCTTCGACATTGTTGTTTTCTATTAGAATATCATCCACATAGAGCAACAAAATAACAAATGAATTACCCGGTCGAAATCTGAAATAAACACAGTGGTCGAACTGACTTCTAATGAAACTTATGCAATTCATGAACTTGTCGAATCTTCAATTCCATTGTTGAGGAGATTGTTTCAGTCCATATAATGATCTATTCAGCTTGCACACATAATCTTCCTTCCCTTTTTCGAGATACCCTTCAGGTTTCCTCATCAAGATTGTTTCATCTAAGTCACCATACAAGAATGCAGTCTTCACATCCATTTGTACTTCACAATGGATTTGTACTTCACAACAGGAGAGAACACATCATTGAAGTTGACACCTTCTTTCTGAGTGAACCCCCAGCAACCAATCTTGCCTTGTATCTCTTCGACGCAACTTCTTCGATTCCTTCCTTAAATTTTAAAATCCATTTACAGCTGACTAACCTAGCTCTAGTAGGTTTCTTGATCAGGTCCCAGGTGTTGTTATCATGAAGCGACTTTATCTCATCATTCATGGCCTTCAGCCATCCAGTCTTCTTTCGACTCATCATAACTTCCTTATAGCCTCTATGTTCTTTGTTTAAAACCTCACTTGCAGAGATTAAGGCATAAGCTATAAGATCTGCATATCTAAGTCTCTGAGGTGGCTTGATGACTCTCCTCGGCCTGTCTCTTGTCAAACCATTTACAACCTTAGCCTCAAGGGTATACAAGCCTTGTTTCTTCACGCCTCTCAAGACTTCCTTTGACCCTTTCATGACTCTTAGGATACTTTTATATCCTTGAAAACATATCCCTTTCTGTCGAATTCACCAATAGAAATCAAATTTATCTTCAAGTCAGGTACATACGTGACTTCAGTCAATAACCTTATTGACTCATCATGGAGCTTGAATCTCATAGATCCAATAGCTGCAATTTTGTAAGATTTTTTGTTTCTCAACAACATCGATCCACCACCTTGATCACATAGCTCCTTGAACAATTCTCTATTTGGAGTCATGTGTCAAGTGCAACTTAAATCCATAATCCACTCTTTTCTCGAGTCACCACTTGAAACCACAAGAACATCAGATGAGTCGAAGTCATCTTGAACAATGTCTGCGTTGCTATTACTTCCATGATCTTTCAGGCGTTCAGGGCACACCTTTCTTGTGTGACCCTCCTTCTTACAGTGATAACTTCGAATACCAGATGTTTCGCCACTATAAGATTTCTGTTGATTTTTACCTTTCTTCTTGTCGAACTTACCAACCTTTTGCAAGAATTTTCCCTTAACGGCCAAACCTTCGCCCACCATCAAAGGTTTATGCTCCTTTCGTTCGTTGAAGTCATTAGAATACAAGGTTGATTGAACTTCTTCAAAGGTCAGGGACTCCCTTCCATACAAGAGAGTTTCTTATAAGTGAGCATGTGTTCTGGGAAAAGCACACAGCAGCAATAGTGCTTGATCTTCATCATCGATCTTCAAATCAATATTTTCAAGATCAAGAATCAGCTTGTTGAACATATCCAACTGCCCAACCAACACTTTGTCTTTACTCATCTTGAATGAATACAAAGCTTGCTTCAGGTAGAGTCGATTCACCAGAGATTTGGTCATGTACAAACTTTCAAGTTTCACCCATAATCTCGATGTTGTAGTCTCCTTTGATACCTGTTGAAGAACCTTATCACCAAGGCTCAACAATATTGTGTTGTGGGATTTCTCAATCATACGTGTCTTCTCTTTTTTCGTTAATGCAACGTCCATTGTAACAGCCCAATTTCTCAATAATTAATTATTCATATTAATTAATTTATTTATTTGGATTTTATTTT